ATATATATATATATATGTCAAAAGCCCTACAGTGAAAAGAAGAGAAAAAGAGTGGGTGAGGAGGGGGACCTAGTGCTGGCCTATGTCAAGCATTCTGAGGTGCCTACACCTCCAACCGATCAATCAGACAATCGGGAAAGAAACTGACAGCACGAATGCCACTGACATCGATTGGCCGCCATTTCTTGCAACGTCTCCAGTCAAGCAAGACAGGATCACGGGGACCATATCCTGGAAGGCATACAACACCAATAACACCCAAACTCGTCGTGATCTCTTTCACGTCCTTCTGCCAAGTCACATGTTGTCCACCTAGCGGTTTGCACCATTCTCGAGGAGGCACGGAGAACAACACCCGTCTCGGCAGACGGTGTTTCGGCATGTGTAGCACATGACCGGGCTATCGTATTCGGTGGTGCTGAATGTTTGCCCCGACTGAGGTACGTGCCGCACAACCAAATGCCCGTTTTCTATTCACCTCGTTACTAACACGCTGGTGCCATCCATAACCAGCCGCGCTACCGAGGCATCGGTGGACGAAAACCTGAAGACGCCTCAGATCATCTGTCCGCAGAGGACATGTCTCTCACCCATATAACAGCACATCCCTTACTGTGTCCTGGTACACATGACCCTTAAGATCTAGTGAGATGCCTTTTTGACGCCACAAGTGACGCAAATTGGCAAACGTGATTCGAGCCTTTGAGATTATTGCATTGAATTTATCAGACACACTCGTCAGATTTGATACAACTACCGAGGTATGTAAATTCTTCCACAATCTCCAGTGATTCTCCTTGAATTGTAAGGGATATTTTAGCAGGTGGCACGTTCGGAAGCATGACTTTGCACTTTGAAGTTGCAAGACGCATGCCAAGAGATGGTATGATGGTGGTCAGTTCATTCAACAGGGCTGGTACTTCGCTTTCGTCTTCAAAGATGAGGGCGATGTCATTTGCTTACTCCAAATCGACCAGTAACACTTTGAACACCGGGGTTTTGAAGACCGTCCAGTGTTCGCCTCATTATTTAATCAATGGCAAAGTTGAACAAGAATGGAGAGAGTGGACATCCTTGTCTGACACCACTTTTTGTAGGGAAGCTTTTGGAGAGTTCACCATACACTCACCCGCCCAGAAGTATGTGAATGTAGGGACCGGATTATGTTTACAAACTTCTGGGGCATACCCTGTTGAGCAAGCGTAGTTAACAGCACTGATCGATCGACAGACCCAAAGCACCCCTGAAGTCGAGGAATACCAGGATTATGGGTCGTCTGTACATGTGGCGTTGCTCTAACACCTGACGGAGTTTGAAGATGTGGTCAACACAGCCTTTACCCTGTCGAAATCCCGCTTGATTCTCATGAGTCAAGGCTTCTTGTGACACCAGAAGCCTTGTCACAACAGGCGTCAGACTAACACCTCTGTGGTTGCTACATTCACTGCGAGTACCCTTTTTGAAAATGGGCACTACTACTACTACCCCAGTTGTCTGGGACGGTCTCCTCCCAGATGGACCCAAATAGACTAGACAGGCACTGGCTGAGGAATCCACTACCATCCTTGGAAAGAGCAGGTGGAAGGTCGTCAGGACCAGCAGCACGATGACGCTTGAGTGGAGAAATGCATTCGGACACTTCTGAGACTGAAGGCGGCTCCATATTTACGGTCCACCTTTCTGTTGAAGGCCAGGTTTCTGGATTGGAGGTAGCAGATGACCAGCTGAATTGTTGCTCGAAGTACTGTGCCCAGCGGTCCAAACGTTCTGCTTTGCTGCATACCAAGGAGCCATTTTGGTTTCTTTTATTATTTCGCTGGCAAGAGGTTTCCGAGGATCAATCGAACTAATCGAGTGGAAGAGTTTGCGCACGTTTCCAGCATTCTTCGCATCTTCCGTTTCTTCAGCCTTTTGGGTCCACCAAGCTTCTTGGTCTGCGCGGACACTCAGTTTCACCTGGCGACGGATGATGCACCGGGTGGAGTTGTGGTTGCGGCCAGGTGAAATCTGTAGCCTAGTCTCCAGTAAAGACACGGTCCTATCAGAGATCCAATGCTTGGATGAGTTTGGCTGGGTTGTACCGCAAGCAGACATTCCGGCTTTGAGAAGCGCTTTGTATATTTTTCTTAGTGGCCAACATCTTATATCCAACATCGGACCGTCCGACAGGGGTTCGAGGAGCCCGTTCTGATAGGTTCATTTGATTTCTGGGTCCACTAGCTTCTCAATCGCTAAGCGACGTGCGCGCGATTTGCAGCGTACCAGTGCATGGTTCGAGTCCACGCTGGTGTTCCAGAAGAGGCCGCAGGCGGTGATCGACCATCGCCACCGATAACTGACGGTGATGTGGTCTATTTGGATTCGGCGCTGGTTTGTTGGTGGGCACCATGTTATCAAGCAATTTCCACTGTTTCGGAAATTCGTACTGCAAAGGAACAGTCTGTGATCGGCACACGTCTGAAGTAAGCGGTCTCCGTTGTCCGTGCGTCTCGTGTCCAAACCAAGACAACCATCCAATCGGGCCTCAGCAGCGCTTAGTTTACCTACCTGGGCTTTCATATCACCAGCAACCACAACGACATCTGAGCTTTTAGACCGCTGTAAAAGGGCACCTAGAGCGTCATAGAAACTGTCTTTGACAGGTTCAGAGCTATAGTCAGTTGGGGCGTAAGCAGACACAATAAACAAGGTGCAATGGACCCCACTTCCTCTAGATTCTCTCAGATGTTGCCGAACGAACCGCACAGAGGAGACTATTAACGGGTATCCAATGAAGTAGAGATGCTTCCGCTCTTTCGCTCAATACAATACCCACCTCAGCATGTCCAGCTACAGCGGTCTCTGCAGAGGTGCCCAGGAAGAGAGCGATTACAGTGCTTGGGTTCTGCGTCCTTGTTTCTGACAGACAACATACATCAATACAGAGGGAATCCAGCGTACGCGCGACAGCCACCTGTTGACCTGCTTGCTTCAGTGTGCGAACATTGAAGGTGGCTAAGCAGACAGGCTTTCGGCGTTTGAACATAGACCTTAAAGTGTTTAGGGTTGTGGCTGAACTTGGACGTACAGAAGCTGCAGCTGAGTGATACAGGGTGGGAAAAACGGCCAGTCCTAGTGCTGCGACCTGTAGAGAAGGTAGTCAAATTTGGGCAGTGGTGGTGGAAGACGGAAAACGTGAAAGTGCAAGAAGGGGGCATCAGCTTTCGCTTAACCGCCCTGCTGTATGCAGCAGGTAAGGCGACTCGGCTGATGGCACCACGCGACGTCTGGTGTGACATGAAAATGTGAATGACATGGTTGTACGAGGGCTGGGATATTGCTAGGGCACCCACACTTGGACAGGAGAACAATTAGGATCCTCAACCAAAGCCTTTGGCTCAAAATCCTAACCGCAAGGTATCGGTGTTGGACTGGAAATACGGGTACATTACCATTTTTATGGAACACGTCGCCACACGTGTCCCAACCCCCAACCCGGAGGGCCAGAAGACTGTTTGTCAGACCTCTAACCATTGACCAACCTGGAATGAGAGACTGAGTGTCGCGCGGACACTTCCCAGTGTAGCTCAATGGGTCACCGAGGTACACAAACCGCCACACCATGGTAAGGTCCAGTCTCTGTGACGAGTTATGATCCGCGTAACTTCGGGAAGCCCAGATAACTTTACTCTCCAGACCAGAACACTGACCCTAATTTATAGATTGTCAGAACTCGAAGATCCCTCGCAGAGTGGTGACCAAAATGTCATCATTATTACGGTGTAACAGAAACTGGAGGTCTTACCAATTTGGAGAAGTACAATAGTGGCTGATAATTCGCCAAATCTCACGTAGTTATCGCGCTCTCCGAGGAAGGTACTGGTGTCTAAGCTTTACATCAACCACATGCGTCAAGCAGTCCTTTCGAAAAAATAACCCGAAGCTTGGACCGGACCATGAAATGCTCCACTAATGATAGTTAACAGCACATAGATGGCATCGCTGACTAGGGCTCTGTGAAGTAGTCCGATAGGAAGCCACCTACGGCCACATTGGCGAGCATCGTAGGGTCAAAGCCTGCAGAATGGCCGCTGGCGCAGCACCTTACCAAACGCTTGAATAAAGCCTAAGTAAAGCACATTAAGATGTTTCATTGTCGACCGAATCACCTCAGCATCGATCTGGGATCGTCATCATTGCCAGCATGACATCAGCGTTCATTGTTTGTGCTTTATCTTGTTTTTCTTGCTGGTTAACCCCGTACACGTTACGTCGATCACTATGTTCACTCTCGACCTTACACGTCACTCCTAACACATTCATCTAGCGGGGAAGCACTGGATTTGAGTTTCGTTCGCGCTCTTCCTCGGGTATTTGGAATTGGTACCTTGTTCGTTAACTTGTGTAGCTAACATGTTACCACTGCTCCACTAACACACGCTCGACACTCGCTATATCAGGACGGGCTAACATTTCTGTGCTGTGAGATTGGCTTCTGACAGCTCGAACGACGATGAAGAACCCTACTTGCGGCGACCGGTTAGCCGGTCAGATAGCACTATGAATGTTTGACATTTCCCGGGCATCATCTTACTTAAACGTCAGTTCGCTGTTGAATGTTGGAAGCTGAAAAAGTTGGAATAGCGTAACACATTCCAAGGTTACTGGACACAACATAAATTGAACAAACCAGGATAGTATGGGATTAATACAGGTGAAGGTGACAGTCAACCCGCGGAGGTAAAGACTTTATGTGAATGCCCTTTCTTACCACTGTAGCGTGAGACTGGTCACAATCTAACTGTTTACGCTAGTTGGTCGCGCGGACACTTCCCAGTGTAGCTCAATGGGTCACCGAGGTACACAAACCGCCACACCATGGTAAGGTCCAGTCTCTGTGACGAGTTATGATCCGCGTAACTTCGGGAAGCCCAGATAACTTTACTCTCCAGACCAGAACACTGACCCTAATTTATAGATTGTCAGAACTCGAAGATCCCTCGCAGAGTGGTGACCAAAATGTCATCATTATTACGGTGTAACAGAAACTGGAGGTCTTACCAATTTGGAGAAGTACAATAGTGGCTGATAATTCGCCAAATCTCACGTAGTTATCGCGCTCTCCGAGGAAGGTACTGGTGTCTAAGCTTTACATCAACCACATGCGTCAAGCAGTCCTTTCGAAAAAATAACCCGAAGCTTGGACCGGACCATGAAATGCTCCACTAATGATAGTTAACAGCACATAGATGGCATCGCTGACTAGGGCTCTGTGAAGTAGTCCGATAGGAAGCCACCTACGGCCACATTGGCGAGCATCGTAGGGTCAAAGCCTGCAGAATGGCCGCTGGCGCAGCACCTTACCAAACGCTTGAATAAAGCCTAAGTAAAGCACATTAAGATGTTTCATTGTCGACCGAATCACCTCAGCATCGATCTGGGATCGTCATCATTGCCAGCATGACATCAGCGTTCATTGTTTGTGCTTTATCTTGTTTTTCTTGCTGGTTAACCCCGTACACGTTACGTCGATCACTATGTTCACTCTCGACCTTACACGTCACTCCTAACACATTCATCTAGCGGGGAAGCACTGGATTTGAGTTTCGTTCGCGCTCTTCCTCGGGTATTTGGAATTGGTACCTTGTTCGTTAACTTGTGTAGCTAACATGTTACCACTGCTCCACTAACACACGCTCGACACTCGCTATATCAGGACGGGCTAACATTTCTGTGCTGTGAGATTGGCTTCTGACAGCTCGAACGACGATGAAGAACCCTACTTGCGGCGACCGGTTAGCCGGTCAGATAGCACTATGAATGTTTGACATTTCCCGGGCATCATCTTACTTAAACGTCAGTTCGCTGTTGAATGTTGGAAGCTGAAAAAGTTGGAATAGCGTAACACATTCCAAGGTTACTGGACACAACATAAATTGAACAAACCAGGATAGTATGGGATTAATACAGGTGAAGGTGACAGTCAACCCGCGGAGGTAAAGACTTTATGTGAATGCCCTTTCTTACCACTGTAGCGTGAGACTGGTCACAATCTAACTGTTTACGCTAGTTGGGACCTGTTCCAGAGATTCCATCCCATTGAGGCCAATTGTTTGATTCTTCGCCATGGCGTTTCGCTGTGGAGCTGATGTAGGCCTGGTTGTTATGTGATTTGTGTGGCTAAAACGTCGACATATCCTTCATATCGTGTGCTTTGAAAAATGTCTGTTTGGTAATCACCTAATATGTAGGCCGTACAAGGCTTTTGAAATTCCTCGTACCATACTGAACATGTTCAATAATCTGTTTTTCTGTTTTAGGTGAAGAAACGCCGACTTTGAAAATCATCCACTCAAATAAACTTTGTGCATCTACGTTATTTGCTTCTTTGTGAGTGGCTTCAAGGGCACCTACGTGGAACATCTTATGTCCGTTACTTTAATAGACTTTATGAATGAAGACGTTGACGTACCCAATTCACCTTTTGTTACTTTTAGGATCTTGAATGCTGATGTCCTAATGCATGATCATGCTGTCGATTGTAGACAAATGATGGATGTTCATACTGGCTAAGAACGGAAGATGCGTGACGCGTGTATGTGGGTGGCGTTTGTACAGTCTTTGACTGCTCTGAGTCCATCACCAATGTGTTAGACTTTGATCGCGTGTTTTCGTCAACCACGTCGTCTTTTTCACCCTGTGCAAGACTCCATCACTGCTCACACCTTGTGACTTTTTCTGTATCCGCAGGCATTAGTGTTATGTACATAAATGCTTCCGTTTACCACTTCGCACCCATTTCAAGCTGTAATGCAGATTGTAGCTCCTGACAGTTTAGGCAGACCAGCCTACAGGTATCCCTTAGGCCTGCAGTAGCTGTCCAACTGTTCTTCATTACACCGGATTACGCTGACGGGCAGGCCAAGGGAGGCTCCATACATTCGAAGTTTTATATTCTTTGTACAGACAAACGTATATGAAGGAGTGGGTTTACACTCGTGGGAAGGATGATTTAGCAAGCAGGAGGCTTTGGCTGTTTGCGATTTATTACAAAGATAACTCAGACTAGGTGTGGAGCCATATAAGGAAGCGAAGAATTGCGGTAGTTTTCCGTAACTAGCAGAGAGCAGCTTGGATTTAAAGTATATTCAGCATGCAGAAACGGCTTTAGACAAGATAGAGAGAAGAATGTTTTGGGTATCCGAATCAATCATGAGATAAAAGCTACATCATGCTGAAATAGATGTAGCGAGTCAACCCAGGTGGTCCTTGAAGTGTTGATACGTTTAGGAACGTGCTTCAGTGACCTCGGAGTCCAGTGAACCTAGTGTGAGAATACATAATCATAAGCCTCTTACTAAGACATTGGTTATCAACCCATTGTGGTCAGTTGTTGATTATGTAGCTGTTGAGCCAGGCTTGGCGATAATCCTTTGTTTCATCACCATTTGACGGATCGCGCTGACAATCGCTAGCTAATCGATTACGAAAGTTTTGCAAATCCATTTCCAACTCCGGCGAATAGATCGCTTAGCCGTTTGGTTGACGTCGAATAAGCACCCAGTCAGCAACATTTCGATATATTGCCAAGCTGATGCATTATATTTACTTGAAACAGTCCCAACTAATTGGAAATCTAGTGATAAATGGTGAAAACAGCAATACTTCAGGTGGTTGTCATCACTCCCACACACGCGATTTCGCAGAAGAATGGAACCATAAAAACTAGTTTGAAAGCGGTCGGTGACAAACTTTGCTTCTCCTACCATACTGGAGGACATTCGAAGGGATATAACGCGTTGCACTTTTGTTCGTCACATTTTGTAAGCATTCCCACAAACGGACTTGCATTCATATGTCAGCACAAATGAAAGCGAATGATGATCATCTCGAATACACCAAGTTGATGTCCAGCTTGTCTGATTTCATTGCTCAAAGCTCAGTTTGACCGACAAACTGGGCAGTGCCCGCATATTGCTAACAAAATATATGATGCAAATGACCTTGTAACGAGTACACGGCATATACCTGACGATGATGGCACGCAATCTAATTCATAGCACTGCAAGCAGATGGTTGAATGTGTAATGCATGCTACCACCCCAATAAATACAAGGGTGTTAAAAGCGTCGATCCAAACTGCTGCCTAGCATTTGAATTCAGCTGGCAGATTCCCGCTATGCCTGCGAACATATACAGTAGGTCTTTAGATAATCTATTCCTTCCGACAAATACATTTGCAAATCAATTTGGTTTTCACGGGAGACCCAACTGAGTCGTTTTCCGAAGACATTCTTCAACTGAACGTCCTGCACACAGGCCACATCATGATTCAGTTGGCACGATATGCGAGATGTCGCAGCACATTCAGTTGTAGAATATAAAAAACGAGAGATTCAGTTGAGTCTCTCGTGAAAACTATATTGATTCGCGAATGTATTTGTATTTGTCGGAAGGAATAGATTATCCAAGTGTTTCATCTAGGAAGAATCAACAGTCTCATGTTAATCATAAAAGCGTACTGCACAAAAGCCTTACCGGATAAGCTGTATTGAAACATAGTCAACAGTGTTCGGTGGTTGTGGAATGCTGCAGGACAGTTCAATCTCTTTTCGGCGGTAACGTTGCATTCACCGTCTCACTAATTTTTACAAAGACTTGATTATCAGCAATCGCTTGGTTTTCAATTTAATGTAGGCTGTGCAATATTGAGGCTTCCGAGTTTGCCTGATAGCTGCATCTCATGGTAACTTTGATGTTTTTGGGAAGTAGATCAACTGACGTCGGACGGTTTCAGTAAATGACTTGATCATCTTATTGGGGATTCTAATTGTCTCAGTTGGCCGCTGAACTGCTGTGACTTCCCCCCGGCATTTCTACTGGTCATGTGTTCGCTGCCAGTGCTTTGCCACGCTGATTTCTTAGGGCGGGCTCGACTTTTGGCCGACGCAAGTGAACCATCACTAAAACCCAATCACCGGGAAATTCACTATCAACTAACTCATCTTTTGTCCCAGGAGATTTGGAAGACATGTTTCGTCGACAATTACTGTATCCACCACCGTCAATCTTTCAGAAGACAATAATGATCCTTCACCAAACCTGGAAGCAACATGCTCTCCCGACGATCAGTTTTGAACACCTAATTATGTCGTTTATGCCGTTTTTTTACCACGTTGGATGAACCGAAGATATGGCATTCGATTTTCTTGGGAGCTTTCATCCTTCCCCCTGAAGAGCCTGTGATGATGTACTGGAGACTCATCGTTTCATCGAATTTTGTGGGGATGGTTACTTGCAACGATCAGTTTCGGCATTCGTGTCGTTTTCCCAGTTTTGACTACAGTTCAGTTGGTTGGTTGCGATGAATTTATATTGCTCATCCCAATCGAAGGAAGTTTCGTGATTGTGATAGGACTGATGCCGAAAACCGTACAAGTAGTCACCAAGAGGATGCAATACTCCGGACGACAACTAAGACTACCGAAACTCAGATTCAAACCGAACGTGAACTAGCCGGTCAGAAGATACAACAAACTAATGAACAGAAATTGCATCCAGCACAAAAGTACCTTATGAACCGATCGAAAACCATGACAAACTGCAAGCGGTTCCGCTTGGTAGACCGGATGACGCAGGAACAATATTGACCTAAAGGAAATATTTAAGAGTAATTGAAGTTGCGAAGCAAACCTGGGAACAAACTGATGCAGGATTGTGATGAAGACGAATGTTTTATTAAAATCGATTCAATGTATACGGTTTAGCAAAATCTACGGATACTTGCAGTTATCCTCCGTAGTAAATTGGAAACATTAGCTACTGAGGAACTGTGAGGATGCAGGAACAAAATGGTAACTGGAAACCTTCGACTGCATGAATTTGTGCGTCGAAACGTATCCAGATTTTAGTGGTAGGAGCTAAAATTCCTCCAAATTAAAGCTAAAAAGGTTGCACTTCGTCGGTCGTTCATTCCTGTTTTAGAAGAATACCCTATCATTTACCAATGAGGAATCGCTAAAATAGATTCACTGGTCAAAGCATGCCAACTCGATGACCCGCTAGAGTGCCTCCAGACATCGTGCACTTCCACTTGGTTGGAATTGCTAGGGACTAATACTTGGTATTAAGTCTTTCGCTGAATGCCCCCAGTGATGCACATCAGTTTGTGTACAAGGGACGGTGATCTGCAACGTATACACTAAATTTTCCCCATAACAGTTCTGGGGGCTTTATACGTGCCTCCGAGTGTGTTCTGTGGGCTTTTGGAGTGCCTTCGATTTAGTCCACTGAGTACTCCTGTCGCACAAACTTTTCAGAGCGAGCACCGTTTCGTACACCTACTTTGCCAACCGAAAGCGGTGCGTTCGGATTGGCGGAAGGTCATCGAAAACTAATAATCGAATTCAACCTGTCCTAAGGCGTTTTTGGTTACCGGTTCTATTTACTTTTAGCACAGACTAACGCCTGACGATCGTCTCAAGTGGTTAAAATATGTTGAATTTGCGGTTGGCACGGAATGTCCTACACTACCGGGTACCTATTCTTAGTGGAATATTAAAGCTCCCTATCAGCTGGCACAAAATGATGCTCTACAGCAAAAATCATCCAAATGCACCGAGATCATTTTCGCCCTGAGGCCGGATAGACATGTTGAAGCTACATCAAGTCTTGTAACCTCAACTACTGTTACCAGATTCCCACTACCTCAAACCAATTGTATGGAACAGCTTAGTGTTATTACTCCTAAATTGAAATGGCATGAACAAGTTGATTAATTCTTTTCAAAATTTGAGGATTTCATATGACGAATTTTTCGAATTTTACACTTACCACCGTACCTGGTAACCCCTTAGTTCACTGGTGTATACCTTAACTGATAAACATACGAATGACTGCACGGAAAGTACTGAGCTAATATTTGGCGATATCCCAACCAGTACATTTAGACATGATAAAATGCCTCCCGAAACGCCTATTGTGCGTCAGCATGCAAAAGCTCTGTGCATCTTTATCTTGTAGTAATCCTTCAGAAGGGGCGAAATGGCTGTTATTGGAGCGCGAATTTAGTAGTTGGAAGCTTCATGGTTCGAACCCGACCTCTGTCTAGGCTTAGGCAACTTAATATCCCAGCCATCGTGCTTCCTTCGGGTGGCATGGCAGCTATGCGCCGGAAGGGCGTTACAGCTGAACTACGATTTATTATTATTATAATCTTTCAGAATATCTGGCACTAATATTTACAGGATGTTTTCCATCGTGGAAAATTTCCGTCTGGCTAATTCGATCATGTTTCCCCTCAGGTTACTGGTCAGTTTCAGCATGCCCACTGTTTATCTAAACATACACCTGCATTCTGAGTGAAAGGTCTGTCTGAAAATTCGTCATGATAGACGAATAAGGGATATTTATTGTCTTTGATTGCAAAAGATCCTGACTGACGGAATAAAAAAATCGCTGGAGTACTTAAAACTGTAAGTTCAAAAGCCAAGGGTGCAGGGAACGGAAACAGTACACTAGCGTGCACCGATGCCATAGGCTAAAGATGTTTGGTTCACTGATTTCGCGTATAAGGAGCGAAGTGAAAGGTCACCGTAGCCGGTCGAGGGGGAAGCTGAGTAACCAGCAGAGTTAAGCCTCTTCACTAGAACTTGTTCACCTAGGAAATCGGATGTAGGGATAAAGGACTGGGTTGCACAACAGAGGTCTTATGATTGACCCTGTCATGTTTTTGTGGCAGAACTGGGACCAACCTGAATAAACAGGTTGGTCGTTGGTATGTTCTCAATAGCAGATACTTCTGTTGAGATGTCACGCAGTGCAACCTGCTCTGTGGCCTTTTGCATACCTGGATGGGGAGTGACCGATGTTTATCGTCGGCCTTGAAGATAGCGTTGATGTAAATGGCCTCCCATATGTAATGACGTTCTAAACATCTTCCAAGATCTCCATATCATTATTTGTCACTAAAGGGTATTATAGTCTGACCATTTCCCATTATCACGACATCCGAGGATATGGACAAGATTGCACCTTAAATTTGTCGTTGACATCCTCATAGAACCCTCAATCCCAATCTAGACACTCGCGGCCTCCTCTTGGATATGATACATCGAAATGTAAATAACACACAAAAGCCCTAATACTTCTACACTGTGGTTGGGTATGCGTACCCCACCACGAAGACTGGATCTTATTGACATAAAAATCTACTAACGAGGTTGCTTCATTAAGTAGGCGCACTCTCCCAGTTCCCCGCAACCTTATGTCCTACTTGAACCCAAGTTGTACGAAATTCCGAAAATGCACACACATTTGCACACCAATATGGGTTTACGGGAGACACATGAATCTCTCGTTAATTATATCCCTCAACTGCTCCAGTTGGTACAATATTCGAGATATCGCACTATATTTTAAAGAGAGAAGCTACTTCTAAGGCTGTTGAAAACTCTTCGAAAGACTACGACAGGTTCCACCCACGCATTACATCCAGCCGGATGAGCCAAAAACTCTGGCTGATGACACCGATCGTCGTGTGTAGGTCTGGACAACTGACAGCATCTCAATCCACGTACAAACAGGACTAATAGTTGAAAAAGGTCATGCCTAATCGGCGGTTGCGTCAAATCAGAAATCAAATTGCCTTGATTGGTGCATACAACAGTGGGTAGGCGGAAACAGACAATTGTTGACGCATTACGTATCCAGTTTCGCATATTTCCCCTTCTCACACCAGAGTCTTTTCTTGTTAGTTCATCTACTAGGAGTGACGAGCCCGTCGAACTTGCATGGGTCTTGGCTGCACCCGCAGTATCAAGTACACCCTGGTCACCCGACTCAGGGTGATACATCGTGGCCGTCTTGTACTTGAGCGGAATGAATAAAAGGATCATCCTAGTTAACAAGAAACACGCTGCGATTGAAAAGATGTATTAGGACAAAAGGACCCTAATAATCAGAGGAGGCGACGTACGCGATGGAAAACGAATCTGCCATTGTGAAAAAGGCTGCAAAATGCCTTACGAGCTCTAAATTCAAGCATGGAAAGACTTGTTTAGTACTGCTATCATCTGTTCGTACACAACAAAAGTAACAGCACAAGCCGGAGTTACACGAAGTAGATTGGGGGTCAAGCCTTTGTAAAAGCTAAGTAGGCCTTCATACCTGAAAGAGAAAAGAAACACCATTAGATTGATCAAATATGCATAACGGAGCTAAAACGACGAATAATATATTCAGGTTACGTTACCCATCCCTTACTAATAAATCTGCTGATTTAGAACGGAGTTAGCATTATTCATCGTTAACAAGCTGGTGATAAGTAATGTGAAATGGTGGATATCTTGAGCCGTAGTCACCCCAAACAAGGTTGAAAAACCGGGAGCCGTTGCGTACCTGTGCGTTCTTCGTCCACGAACCAGTCGTAGTGTACTAAAATAAGGTAGTCACTCGAATTGAGTTTCCGAATGTGCCGCTTCGTTGAATTCACGAACAACAAATCGCTGGACGAATCTGTTCGATATAGGGGAGGGGCTGCGTCACTTAGCTCCTCCAAGTTAAGTTCTCCATTTTTGTTAAATCTATTCCTTACGCTCACTACAAGGATCAGACCATGTTAATTAGCGATACTCAAAATACGATAAATGAGATTATCTCTGAATTGTGTTCCTGATCTGCGAAACTGGGCTAAACGCCAGAAATATTTCGTGGTCTTTTTAATAAACCGGCAATTCTCCACAGCAGTCGCTTTTAAAGTGATCCGGCGAATTGAGGCTTCGCGAAAGAACAGGAATACACTTAAAATTGGGAAGTCGAGGAATTCAGTTGGGTGAATCTGCTAAGGCATGGAATAATAAAAAGGTGCATATTGGAGCTTCTACTTTGGACTCAAGATCCGACAAAAGAACCATTTGACTTTTAGATGCATTGATCGTACAGGCCCGGTTGGGTCTAAACTCAACAAGCTTATTTTACCACCAGCAAAATAGATAGTATCCACTGAGATGTTTTTCATCAGCTTCCGAGTAATTCCTGTGGAGTTACGGAAACAGTTTTCGACCTGACAGACCACATAAGACATTCTCAGTAGGGGCATGGAGATTCAAGTTAAGAAGCCACGCCGATAAAAAATAAAACAGTGGTTATGGAGTGGGACTTCGAACGGTGCCACTAGAAATATTTTTGGTCATCGGTGCTTCCGACGGAAACCTGAACAAGCGCGACTAAATAAGTCACCAACGCATATTCTTGGCTAGCGCACGAACTCGGGGCAACAGACGAACTTGTCACCACGACGTAAACACACACTTGATGCACAAGATTTACCACGTCTGAATGGCCGGACATGTCCGCGCTTGACCGATGGAATTGGTTTGTCGAAACCCGAAAGTGAACGCCTTGGCCTGTTTAGATGTGGTAAAGTAGATGCGTTTAGCGTGTGCTGGTATGATAATGGTAACAAGTTCACGGCGGACGTCAAACGACCGGGATTCGAGTACCGGTATGGCCAGTACGTGCATTGCTAATGAGCTGAAACAAGAGCAACAAGCGAGCTTAGTGCTTCCCTATTTAAAGTAGACAGGGAAAGAACGGTTAAGCGGGGTGTGATGTGAGTACATCCCACAACGAATCTGTAATTAGGGCTGGGTGGATTCCGTCATGGTATCAGTAGCGAAAACGGCAGTGAAGCATCGGTGTTGAACACTGATGTCATGCTGCCGAGGATGATGATGATGATGATAGCGAAATCGCTCAGAGATTTATTCGATAATTTTTATTTGGATCAAAGGATCCGCCCGGATAGCATCTGAGCAGTGGCAAGACCGTGAACATATTTTGGTCAGTAGTCCTCAAGCAGAGCAGTGCAGTCACACAAACGGTTAAGACTACAAGATATGGCTGTTAGTCGATGTTACTGGTGTTCTTGTTGTCAGTTTCTATGCAGATTGTCTGAATAATTTCGTGGAGGGTTGATTGTAGTAAGCTAGGACAAAGTCTATTCCCCGTCCACCTTTATACCTTTTTTTCTCACAATAAGGCTTTCAAATAAACCATGGTTGTACTGCGGCGAAGCATCAGTGTAGAACATTAATGTAATGCTGCCGATGATGATGATGATGATGATGATGATGACGTATGTAAACAAACCAGCTTCAGTTCTTGATGGTGAATAATATTTCCTCAACCGTACTTTGGAGGAATGGAAAAAGCTCGCAGTATAAGGGTAAAAAAGCTCCCTATGATTCTGAAAACTGGATCTAAGGGAGAAATACTGCAGAAGGAGCCAAGGAAACGTGTCAAGTGTGTGCGTCTCGTAGATATTTTCACATACCTGTACATCGTTTGAATGATCTGTATGACCCCGCGCTGTTGCCGATGCTGATCTTGTAGGCGAGTTCGAACAACTTGATACGGGTATGTTAGCGATGTGGCGGCCAACTTGGACAAACAAGCGAAAGTAAAATACTCCCACGATGTCTGATGGAGAAACAAAAGCATAAAAAGGGGGGATGAAATTGGGAATTTCAAGGGTGTCAAAACAATCCATGTTGCATGAGTTGTTCACAATCATACGCCAGTTGGAATGATGGATACCAAACAGTGAACAGCCAACGGAGTACTGAAAAATACACGAATAAACGGTGCACGGATAGTCTAAAACTATGGAGTTTACCGAGGTTTCAATACTACAGCACCCGAAGATTTCGAAACAGACAGCGGAATGGAATTCCGAAGACGAGCAGTCTTCTATTAAATATGAAAGGTACTTCAGTTTAGTGACAAAGGTTTGTCGGACGGGTGAGCGATTGTTGGAGGGAAGCAGAAATGAGTTCAGCGGAACGTTCTCCAATGAAAAGGCGAGGAGAATAGGTCACAAATTTGAGAGGAGAGAGGGGAGATAATGAGGCACACAAGTTTTCACTGTGTATAACTTGGAAACAAAGGTATGTGGAATAAGTACCAAACTAAACAAAATGGGAGTACCTGGGATACTCATAAACGATGTTAGGAGGGAGAGAAATATTCAAGAGATCAGAAATAATACTAGAATTTCTGGAAATCTGGGTTGCAATAGAGTTCAGATACGAGGACCAGCTGAGATTGGCTGAAGAGGTTAGACGAACAAGTGAGCAGCGGAATGGCTGAGGGACAGGGTTAGAGTGCATAAAGGAAGATTAGCGAGGGAATGGAGAAAAAGAGGGAAAGATGTGCGGGAGTGAAAGCAGCCCTTAACATTAATGTTTGTAAGATAAGCAAGCATTCAATGTGCTGTTGGTATGCACACGGTCTTTACTGATCCATGCAGGGAATAAGAAGATGAGGATTGAATCCCATACGGTGTGAATGCACACGGAGGCAGAGGAAATAATAAAGTAAATAAACAAAGGGAGAGGTGTGGCGGAATAACAGAACTTTGGAAAATGTCTACATTGAAGCCACTGATCCAAAAGAGCACCATCAAAGTGTAAATTAAACATATGGTTAAGCAGGAATCCTCCAACCTAGTTCGCCGAGATAGAGTGCAACCTGTAAATCACCAGTGTGGCATTCCAGTTATTGTATCATACTTGATTGAGAGGCTTCGGGAAATCAGGGAATATCAATTTGGTTTCACCAAACAAGTGAATGGCATACGACCATGGGTGAATACAGCAGTTCACCAATAGAGCAGTAGCAACTGAAACCGTTCAGGTTGTTGTCTGGTCAAGACTTATCCTCGAACACTGAACGAAGTAGGAGTAATGGAGCTGAGCCAATATTTCTTAGGGTTATGTAAACGGTTAAGCTTGTGGATGGACGTACCTTTTCTGGGGAGGAGGGACGAACAAAGGAGAGGAAAAGGCAGAGGAGGTAAAGCATAATTGGACCGAGTCCTGGAGCACAGATACTGAGCAAAATAAAGAGGGTACAGTGTGGACCAGGAGTTGTTTGTCGAAAAAAAGCATTGAGGATCAGCTCTAGCTGAAGTGGTGGGTAGTAGAAAACAGGTTGAAGCCGCTGGTTAGGCTGAAGCATTGACCCTTCTTTTGAACAAGCGAGTTGAAGACACTATTAGAGCCAGAATAGGACGAACGGAGAGAGGACAGAAATTTACACCGATCATTTATGTAAGACTAAGGAAGTATCAACTTCTGGTCAACTGATCAGTCTTGTAACTGACGCACATATGCTTGGTCCTGCTGACGATGGTGCTCCGAGAGGGTGAAGCGTGGGATGGGATAACAGTATCCTTTCAAAAGAACCAGGTAATAGGCAATACCAAACCTTTCTACAAGTGAGGGTATGTCGCCTTCAGATAGTGGGGTGTAAAATTGGGTATTCCGCTTTTACGGACACTGGTAAGGTTGTCATCGAAAATCTTAGGATCGCTGGAGACGTGATAACCTTAGAGGGACGAGCCGGAAGACTGTCGCACGCCGTGACATAGGTGAGAAGAGATTACATATACCTGATCAAATGGTATTAAACCAGGGTTTGAGGGTCTGATCTATGCCAATCTACATGTTGAAACTGGGCGACAAAATCTGCGTGCACCTGGACGGCGCATCTGTACACTGCATGGAGAAAGACTTGAATTACTGTGTAGGAAAAACAAGGATTGTTAGCCACTTACGACACATTTACAGTATGATTATAGTGCCAATATCAATGCACTTTGATAAGTCTGACACGAGACCGTTTGAACACCTCGGCTAGTCGGCACAACATGGACTGGTCTAAAACTGATAGGCAATGCACTTTTTCGTTCCATATAGATACAAGTACGTGAAGCCAAATGCTTACAATAGGTTCAGCCCCAATTCAAAATAATCTTGACTTACACGCGTGCTGCAACAAACTATTGCTATCAGTGTGCTACTAATTCGACACTGATGACCTCCAACTATAACTGGACGCGGTAAGAACGGGAGAAGTGGGCAAAACGGTCTGAACACAAAAGATTCATTTTTCTCGACAGAATGCCACTCTTCACCATGGTTCACCATCATCCTTGACAGCATTACACCAGTAAGATATAGCGGTGCTTAACCACTGTATGACCATGATGAAATAAAACCTCAGTAAAGAGTAGAAAAAGGAAGGGTAACGACACGGAGCGGAGAAACCCTTACGAAAAACGACAAGCTATAAGGTTCCTCAGTATTAAAATAAACACGCCTGAGTCTCATTTCAAAATAAGGCATCATCAGTGGGATCGACTTCCAGGACAACATGAACCACAATTTAAATATCTCACCAACTGGTAATTTTTACTCTATATTTTCGGTTCATATACTACCATTATTAGACTATTATGCCCTTCTATTCTGTCTTCCTTCTAATCTCGACCGGAGACCACTTGACACTCCTAACAATTTAATCGTCTAACAAATAAATGGATCATATTCCCTGAACTATAATTTTTTATGCTGATCTTTATTCACCAGATGTCCCGAAACAATGGACTCATTGGACCCGTACTTTCAAAGCTTACATTAACACAACCAAGCCTGAAGGTCTCATATATCATTGCAAAATGTAGCGAATACGGTTCTGCTATAACCTTCTTAAAAAAACTCATTCAAACGAAAAAAATATCGTATAAGCACGCCACCTCTCAGCTACATAAAAGCAAGAATCTGGTCAAGATATTGACCAGTTCGGTCAGCCACCAAAGATTAAATTCACTACCATTATAGACTATTATGCCCTTCTATTCTGTCTTCCTTCTAATCTCGACCGGAGACCACTTGACACTCCTAACAATTTAATCGTCTAACAAATAAATGGATCATATTCCCTGAACTATAATTTTTTATGCTGATCTTTATTCACCAGATGTCCCGAAACAATGGACTCATTGGACCCGTACTTTCAAAGCTTACATTAACACAACCAAGCCTGAAGGTCTCATATATCATTGCAAAATGTAGCGAATACGGTTCTGCTATAACCTTCTTAAAAAAACTCATTCAAACGAAAAAAATATCGTATAAGCACGCCACCTCTCAGCTACATAAAAGCAAGAATCTGGTCAAGATATTGACCAGTTCGGTCAGCCACCAAAGATTAAATTCAAGGCAGTATATGCTGTGGAACATATGAACAAAGCAGTCCGGGATGCCTTGATAATCGGACTGCAGTCAGGCACCATTCGGGAGAAACTGCTGACATGACGTGAGTGGGACTTTGACAAAGCGCACGGAACCGTACAAGTTCTCGAACTTTCACAAAAACAATCACGATCATAAGTATACCGACAATCCGTTACTTGTTCTGTGCCTACCCATTAGTCCTCTGTTAACGTCGAAACAACGGTTTCTGCTGCTAAACAACAAACATATTAATCACGTGGAAAATATTTGACTACGTGACTGTGTGGTTGTCAATCCACTTAGGATCATTAGGGGAAAAACGGGGGGTGGGGTGGGAATCCCAACCCGACCAAAGGTCACAGCATCCCTCTTACACAGCTTCCTTAGCACTACCTCACCCACACAGACTAACAGAAGATTCAAACGAAGTTCAAGAGGAACCATCAAACGAACCGAACCAGAAGAACTAGACCCTGGGCTGGACCCAAACACACGTGGGTTTCCCCACCGACTCAACACTTGTTCAACCACTCCAACACACTAAAGTCCCTCGGCTGACACCCAACAGAGATTTAGCTTGACTTAGCTGATTGATTCTCCTTCCACCTTAAATCTCGATCAACCTCGGAACCCAGTCACTTGGCCTGACGAAGCTTTTGTGTCAAAAGCGAAACGTTGCCCAGCAATAAATCTACCGATTGTCACCAAACTTTTTCGAAAACAAACATGTTACTTTAGTGGAAATCCCAAGCATCCTTGTATTAGGTGTCTTGCCAAAGAATCAGTTTGCAAAAGTTGTGAGAAAATAGAGCATTTTCAACGCATCTGTAGGTCGAAAACCTTGAAGTATCGCATGAGTTCAGCTCAAGACTCCACAATCTCTTCGTTATTCCCTACCTCTGGCCCAGTCGCCTATCTAAAACCACAACAGATATTTTGATCAACAGTGTTGTTGATAACGGCAGCCCCAGCAGTTTAGTTTCTTCATCAATCCTACAAAATCATAAATGGAAGCTATTTCCGTAGGATTCTGTGATAATAATGGCGTCTACAATACACTCAGGGTGCGAGATGCTTCAGTGGTTAGGGCACAAATTTACTGGCCGGAAGGTCCGTGGTTCCAACCCGACCTCTTCATCTCGACTCCCCTGCCTAGGCTTGAGCAATCTGGTAGTATTCCAGCCCTCGTGCTTCCATCGGGTGGCATGGCAGCTAGGTACCGAAAAGTTGCGACAGCTGAATGCTTATCTTTTTTATTTCATTACGATACACTCTTCTACCAAAGGTTATTGCCTTGTGTCCATTCAGTGCAAGGATGCTACAAACGAACAGTTCAAACCTTGTGTATTACCGAGCCTCTGTGCATAGGTCACCCTCGGACGACTTCTTGGGGTAAAGTGATGAAGTTGAAATTTTATTCGGTGGCCAATGGTGTAGCATCCGCAAAACTGGAATCCCCATCCTTATTCACGAATCTTGTTGCGAATTGCAAACCAATCACCATGAAATCTCGTCGTCATACACTGTAAGACGAACAAGTCATACTAACCGAAGCAGACCGAATGCCCACCGATGGCATAATTGAAGCATCCAATTCTTCATGGAGAGCGCAAGTGTTCGTAAAGCACAATACTAACCAAAAGAGACGCACGTTCATTCGAAACAGTCGTCATCAATCGCTTTACATAAGTTGACACATCCTTTAAAAAGACTGGATCTTACTATAGAAATCATCGCATGCTATACCGCCTGCAGTTCACAGACCTACAGAGTGCAGACCATCAGGTTCCAACAGTCAAGTCAGGTAAGCCGTTTATTACATTCGAAGCCGGCGGGAACCTACACCAGTTTCGACTCATTCCTTTGGGAGTGAGAAACGGGGGTGGTGCTCCCAACGAACGTTAGACAGTATCAACAATACCGAACAGGTGAAAGACAAATTCGCCTACATTGATAAAGTTTATGTATGCGGTAAAACGAGAGTTGAACACGGCGGTCATGTTAGAAATTTTCTCGACGTCGCTAAAACATACATTACCTTGAACGACATAAAAAGTAGCTTCGCGACTGAAGAGCTTACTCTTCTGGGTTACAAAGTCCCAAAAGATATTATCAAACTTGACCCAGAACGTGCGCGCCATATAAGAAAATCCCCAATTCCAGAGAACGGAAAATCGCCTGCTACTCACAGTAAATACCGCCGTTTATTACATTGCCGGCGGGAACCTACACCAGTTTCGACTCATTCCTTTGGGAGTGAGAAACGGGGGTGGTGCTCCCAACGAACGTTAGACAGTATCAACAATACCGAACAGGTGAAAGACAAATTCGCCTACATTGATAAAGTTTATGTATGCGGTAAAACGAGAGTTGAACACGGCGGTCATGTTAGAAATTTTCTCGACGTCGCTAAAACATACATTACCTTGAACGACATAAAAAGTAGCTTCGCGACTGAAGAGCTTACTCTTCTGGGTTACAAAGTCCCAAAAGATATTATCAAACTTGACCCAGAACGTGCGCGCCATATAAGAAAATCCCCAATTCCAGAGAACGGAAAATCGCCTGCTACTCACAGTAAATACCGCCGTTTTCGGACAAAATTCATTTTTTGGTTAACAAAATATTTCCACTCCCGGAGTTTCTGAACAGTATTTGAGAACTTTAAGCAGCAACTGGAAAATGCGACAATCTTTACATCCCTCTCGTCGTCGAAACTGATGCGTCGGACATCGCTTTTGGTGCATCTCTGAGTCAGGGTAACCGGCCAGGCGCGTTTTTCTCCAGGAGCTTGACCACAAACGAGAAAAAACATTCTGCTATCGAAAAAAGAAGCATATGCTATCGTCGAAGCGACCTGGAAATGGCGCCACTATCTCTTCGAGAGACATTTTAAACTGATTACGGATCAATGTTTGGTCGCTTTTATGTACAGGAACCAAAAGAAGAGCAAAATGAAGAATGATAAGATTGGACGGTGGAAAATGGAATTGGGAAGGGGAGTACAACTACGAAGTCGTATATGGTCCAGGAATGGACGAACGCGCTACAAATGTCCTGTCTCGTAATCTTTGTTCCGACAGTGTTGCGATAGGAAAACTTCAAGAGATTGATAGCAAAGTGTGCCATCCCAAGGTCACAAGCTTTGCACATTTTGTTCGTTCTAAGAACCTTGCCTTTTCAGTCAATGATATCCCACGTATGGTCTCTAACCGTTCCACATGCTCCGAACTCAAACCAAAATTTTGTCACTCTTTTTGTGACCAGCTTATCAAAGCTACACAACCTTTTGAACGCCTTAGTATTGACCTTAAAGGCCCACTTCCATCAAACACTCGTACAGGTGCCCCTTAAAAATCATTAACGAGTACTCCCGATTTCCTTCTGCTTATCCTTGTGCCGTTGTTTGAGTCACTGTTCGGTATGCCCGCTTATATTCACTCGGATCACCGTTCTACGTTCATGTCAACTCAACTCAAACAGTTTTTATTCGACAAAAACGTTGCAACTAGTCACACCGCTGCCTACAATCCACAATCTAATAGCCAAGTGGAACAACTCAATGCTATCTTTTCGAAGACCATCTGCCTCGTTGTAAAATCACGACACTTGACTGCCACCCCCTGAAAGGTTTGCCTTCTCGATGATTTCCACTCCATCAGGTCCCTGTTGTGTACCAGTATCAACATATCGAAAGCGAGGGCGAGTCTGTATTCGACACGCGTTTCCAGTACTTGGAACTGCAATGATAGATTTGAGACAATATCTTACCAATTTGGCATTCACTGGCCGATGTCGACAACGTTCGTTGTAAGCATTGCGTATCTTCTCGTACAACATAAACTGTATGGCTCCGTGACTGACGCCCACCAAACCAGGGAGGTAGCCTTTGTAGAGCCCAGTGATACCCTCATATCGCCACAAGTTTGTTAGAGCCTCCCAGGTGGACAGGGTTCGTAGCGAGATGCTAGGTTGGACCGAATGACGAGATGCGGGTTGCTCGTATTGAAGACAGAGGCGTGTTTTGATAACCCATATAGGATTCATGACTGTCAAAGTTAGCGAACCTAAGAAACGGAGGAAGAAAAGTGCAAGCGGGGAGTAGCACGAAGCCATAGTTCCTAAATGCCAGCAACTACATAGCCTATCTTCCATCGTGGCTGTATCGCGGTATTGAGTAAAAGCGATGTACACATAAAAGAGGTCACACAGCCACGCCAGTGCTTAGCGGAGATGCACTGAGTTTATCACCTAAATGGCTAATAGGAACTGCTGATTCATTTGAGATTGTCGAGATATTGCACTCAATCTCTCGTCCGTGCCTGTTGTGATACAGGCGTAATCCCACACCGAGCTGATATCAGGCGATTCTGGAGGAGATGAGCGGAACTACGTTTCAGAGTAATTGTCCAACGCTGCTGAGAAAAAAACATTGTGCATTGTGAGTAAATGTATCTTGAATGTCTACACTGTTGGCTATTCGCCCCCAATAATCCAGCGGATCTACCAATTCCAAAAAAATTCGCGTCAATATACCCACTGCAACTAGAATCCTTAAACTGTCGGATTTTGGTGCACCTAGGTGTTTCGAACCAACGGTAACTGGTGAAGGCTGTGGACTAAGACATAAACTGTCAGGTTTTAGGATAGGAAAATGCAGTGACAATCGGAGTTTCGAAAACCTGAGTGTGTTGTCTAACCACGAAAGGTTGAAGCTAGCTAAGCGGAAGAGTGAATTTTAGGGAAACCGTCAGATACTTGATGTTGACAAGAAGCAAAAGGGCGCTGAACTTTATGAGGCCTAGCCTAAAGAGCGAGAAAATAACATAACTTACCGGCTAGCGCACCACAGCCAAAGTATTCCAGAGCAGTAAGAGGTTTGGTGGCGTCTCCTTTTTGTAAAGAACTTCTCAGTGCTGCATAGCTAAAACAAGTTGATGGCGATGAGTGGACACAAAGGCAATCTCTAAGCAACAGGCTTCACCAAATATAGTAAAAAGAATGTGACTAGTGTCCAAAACACTTAAACTACCCATCAGAAGTGCTACTTTTCGCCGAAAAACACTCGCTTAAGAACTACCCTGATGTTGATGGAAGATTCAAATGAATCCCTCGTTTGTGATATTAGTCGACTGAATGTGTCCACACAGGTCGCCTCATGTTTCCACTGCCACGATATTCGAGTTATTGCAGCATATTTTCGCAAAAGGACGCACCACTCATTAGGTAATTTGCAAATGAGTTGGTATTCAACTATTGATAGGAACTGTGGGGTTATAACTACCTGATGAGCCACAAGAGGGGCAAAAGTAGTAGGGCCTATCGAAGAGATTTCAGCAACCTTGTGAGTAGTGTCCTATCGAGGGAGTGGTCTTTTTGCCTGTAGCTATTAGAGGACTTCTACACGATACAACAGGTTTTCAAAAGTGGGATATCGAAAGCAAGTGGATCAACAACGGAGTACCAATGACAATGTTTACTTTGTTGGGGTTCCCATCTACCGATAGCAATGGACTAAGCGAACGGCAATGCGGTCCTGTGCACAATATGGAACACAACTGCTGGACTGACAAAATACTTAATTACAAGTACATAAAAGACTATCGACGAAGCCGATACCAGTCGTACAATCGCCTCCGGATTTGAATCTGTGATTGGTTCTGGAGGGTGTTAAAAAAAACTAAGTCACTTCCTCGTCCACTTTTGTTATGTTCTTCACAAAAAGGCCTTCAAATAAATCATGGTTGTACGGCAGCGAAACATGGACTGCACGAGACGCTTGTAGCTGACTACGGTTTGACGGCGTACTGAGAGCACTCAATAGGTGCCTAGACACTGCTTCACCAGCTTACTAATGATGTTGCCCGTCATCAAAAAAATATGGTTGTACGGCAGCGAAACAGGGACTGCACGAGACGCTTGTAGCTGACTACGGTTTGACGGCGTACTGAGAGCACTCAATAGGTGCCTAGACACTGCTTCACCAGCTTACTAATGATGTTGCCCGTCAATGCGAAAAAATGCGACGAAAACATCCCTTTTCCAGCATGAGTTCCAGTGTAATTTTAGCCCTAGAACACTAGAGAGTGAACTTTCATTCCCTGAGAATTCGCAGGCGGTGCGTTACTGAAGAAAACAGAAAATGATCGCTTCAAATTTATGACATTGGATAGCTTCTCTATTTCGGTTGATCGACAGAAAACGACATTTTCCAGCGAAGATTACTCCTGGGTTAGGAACCAAAAGGACTGAAATCCCATTCTAATGCCATCAACTGAATGACGCATTCTAAAACTTCGGTCGTTTTTTCTTCCGAGGGTTCCTTGAAAATGCACTGGACTGTCATCAGAGATCGAGAACTAATGATCGCAGTAAGGAGTGAAAATTGTACTTCATTGTGAAGTCTTTGAGAACCCCGCACAATAACTCTACATTGAATTATGTGGAACGAATTCTCAAAGCAGAATAAGTTTTAAGATGAATGAGCCCTAGGAAGAAGCTCAGCCAAAGTCAAAAAGATGAAGTCTTGGATCCGCTAGAAGAAAACTAAAGATGGTTGGAGCATTGCTAGTTGACGAACGCCCCTTTGTATCCGAGTAATCCTCTTCAACGGATAAGATGAAACAATAATGGGCCTGCAAGAAGTTCTACGGACTCAAAACGGAGCGCGAAACTGATCAGACATTCATGAATTTCCGAGAAGTCCAAGGACGACCACCTACCACGACCTTTATTTGGATACCAGCACAGCAGAACTCTGGTGTTGGGACACGAGGAAACCCCCGGCTACATGGGGAAGCGCGAAGAACTTGGCATCTTCATCGATTTTAAAGGCATGCTTAGTCTGGACAAAATTTGATGTCTACTACCATGTTGGTCAAGTGTTCGATTGTCGAGGGGATGGTATAGCTACGACTGTTGTGTTCACTGAGATGGGCGATTTGGATACAAACGTTTCGTCACTACATAGCAGTTGGTGGCGCATCGTAGGTTAGCAGCGTGTTGGCAGATGGCCGGATGGTTTGCAACTTAAGCTTCATATATGACCCGCTGTAATTATTCGTAGAATTACAAGACGTTTCCAATGAGTTCCTTGGTTGGAACGGCTTGTGATTTACTGGAAATATGTCGCCGTGAATATCATTATTAATGGTGGATGCAACCATTTTCGATTGAGCTTAAAAATGTAGTCGTAAGAATCAAGTCTTGTGAATAAAAGATGAGGCTTTTCGTCCGGAAACAAAATATGTGCAGCCTGTAGATAGCACTGAGAATACTTAGACATTCAGCTATCAGTGGATGATCCGCAGTATGGCAAGCTTGCCCTTGGGTGGGACAGCGCCATCCACCTTTCAGTCACAGAGTTCTCGTTATGATGGCTATTTGATTGGCAACCTCCCAGAGGAGGAGACAATGCGACTAATCTTTACCAACAGCCCTGCATCCCCCGATAGCAACATCAACCAGTGCACCACTGGGAGAGCCACGTACAACAATAAAATTATCACGTGAAGTTTCCGAGCTTTTGATAGCCAACTCAACATGGAAGAATTAACGAAGAGTATCTTACAGAGACAATGATGAAGCTTAAAAGGATAATCTTTGGAACGCTTGGATACTTACAGCAGAAAGTACAGACCCCATGAACCACTGGAACCGATCACATTTGGAGCAAGTCCGAGATACAAGCCACGCAGTCCACGGATTTTGACCACATCAGTCAAGGTTCGAAAGGTTCCTCGGTTAACGGTCCTATAAATGCCAATAATAAAAACCACATGGAATAAAAAACCAAAAAGGTGGTGCAAACTATGTGGTACTTTACTATAGCCCAACACTACCCGAATGTTAAAAGTGGACAGTTCACGCGATGTTCTTTAGGCATCATTCAAGAATAATGATAATTATTTTCGTCTCCGGTATCGTCAGACTTCCCCGATGTTTACCCTAAACATTGAGAAGAATCTCCTCATGCGGACTGAACACTCCTGCTTCTGAGAAAGTAAAGTACAATGAGCCACGACTCTGATAAAAATGGCTGTCAAATAAAGCCTTGTTGATACATAATAGACCATATGCTACGAAGCATTCAGTAACTATATATTTTGTAATGCACTCCTCATAAGGTTGCACCTGGACCCAAATCTCTCGGTTTCGATGTTTCCAGGCAACTGAATGTGCCGCACCAGGCCGCCTCATGTTTCAGCCGCTATGATATTCGATTCGAGGCGATACATATGTATTTTCTAATGTACTACTCATAAGGTTGCCGAAAACTTCTCGACAGTCCATGACCGGTTTCGCCCTTCTTGAGGCTCATCAGGCAGGCGCAGTCTCCGAGTTGCCTGGAAACATCGAAACCGAGAGATTCGCTAGAAGAAAACTAAAGATGGTTGGAGCATTGCTAGTTGACGAACGCCCCTTTGTATCCGAGTAATCCTCTTCAACGGATAAGATGAAACAATAATGGGCCTGCAAGAAGTTCTACGGACTCAAAACGGAGCGCGAAACTGATCAGACATTCATGAATTTCCGAGAAGTCCAAGGACGACCACCTACCACGACCTTTATTTGGATACCAGCACAGCAGAACTCTGGTGTTGGGACACGAGGAAACCCCCGGCTACATGGGGAAGCGCGAAGAACTTGGCATCTTCATCGATTTTAAAGGCATGCTTAGTCTGGACAAAATTTGATGTCTACTACCATGTTGGTCAAGTGTTCGATTGTCGAGGGGATGGTATAGCTACGACTGTTGTGTTCACTGAGATGGGCGATTTGGATACAAACGTTTCGTCACTACATAGCAGTTGGTGGCGCATCGTAGGTTAGCAGCGTGTTGGCAGATGGCCGGATGGTTTGCAACTTAAGCTTCATATATGACCCGCTGTAATTATTCGTAGAATTACAAGACGTTTCCAATGAGTTCCTTGGTTGGAACGGCTTGTGATTTACTGGAAATATGTCGCCGTGAATATCATTATTAATGGTGGATGCAACCATTTTCGATTGAGCTTAAAAATGTAGTCGTAAGAATCAAGTCTTGTGAATAAAAGATGAGGCTTTTCGTCCGGAAACAAAATATGTGCAGCCTGTAGATAGCACTGAGAATACTTAGACATTCAGCTATCAGTGGATGATCCGCAGTATGGCAAGCTTGCCCTTGGGTGGGACAGCGCCATCCACCTTTCAGTCACAGAGTTCTCGTTATGATGGCTATTTGATTGGCAACCTCCCAGAGGAGGAGACAATGCGACTAATCTTTACCAACAGCCCTGCATCCCCCGATAGCAACATCAACCAGTGCACCACTGGGAGAGCCACGTACAACAATAAAATTATCACGTGAAGTTTCCGAGCTTTTGATAGCCAACTCAACATGGAAGAATTAACGAAGAGTATCTTACAGAGACAATGATGAAGCTTAAAAGGATAATCTTTGGAACGCTTGGATACTTACAGCAGAAAGTACAGACCCCATGAACCACTGGAACCGATCACATTTGGAGCAAGTCCGAGATACAAGCCACGCAGTCCACGGATTTTGACCACATCAGTCAAGGTTCGAAAGGTTCCTCGGTTAACGGTCCTATAAATGCCAATAATAAAAACCACATGGAATAAAAAACCAAAAAGGTGGTGCAAACTATGTGGTACTTTACTATAGCCCAACACTACCCGAATGTTAAAAGTGGACAGTTCACGCGATGTTCTTTAGGCATCATTCAAGAATAATGATAATTATTTTCGTCTCCGGTATCGTCAGACTTCCCCGATGTTTACCCTAAACATTGAGAAGAATCTCCTCATGCGGACTGAACACTCCTGCTTCTGAGAAAGTAAAGTACAATGAGCCACGACTCTGATAAAAATGGCTGTCAAATAAAGCCTTGTTGATACATAATAGACCATATGCTACGAAGCATTCAGTAACTATATATTTTGTAATGCACTCCTCATAAGGTTGCTGAAACCAAATGGCACGAAATTAGCGAAATACACTCATTTGCAAACTAATTTGGTTTCGCGAGGGATTCACCTGGAACCCAGCTAAATCTCTCGGTTTCGATGTTTCCAGGCAACTGAATGTGCCGCACCAGGCCGCCTCATGTTTCAGCCGCTATGATATTCGAGATATCGCGATACATATGTATTTTCTAATGTACTACTCATAAGGTTGCCGAAAACTTCTCGACAGTCCATGACCGGTTTCGCCCTTCTTGAGGCTCATCAGGCAGGCGCAGTCTCCGAGTTGCCTGGAAACATCGAAACCGAGAGATTCAGCTGGGCTCCAGGTGAGTCTCGAAAAAACACATTAGTTTGCAAATGAGTGTATATTCACATTCACTAATTACTTCAAAACGTCATCATCAACACCAGAGACAGAAACATCAGTGTTGACACTGATGCTCTACTGCCATAGGACCAAAAGGTTTACCTGATTATATTACAAACCTTAGAATGAAAATAATAGAATGGGTAAAGGGAGAGCTGGGGAGGGCTTATCGCAAGCATTTGAGGGTGCGTACACTTCCAAAAGCCAAATCAAAGAATCTGGAAGGAAAATGGCAACACAAACGCCACTGACACCAATCAGCCGCAATTCCTTAAAATGTCTCCAGCCAGGCGTGGAAAAGATCACAGGCACCACATCCTGAACGGCCCACTGAAACAACAACACCCAAACTCCCCGTAATCTCATTCCAACCCTCATGCTAAGTCAACAATCGTCCACCTCACGGTTTACGCCATTCTGAGGAAGGTACAGGGAACAACACTCGTTTCGGTAGATGGTGTTTCGGTATGCGCAGCACACAGCCGAGTCACCGTAGTTGATGGAGCTGGATGTTTTTCGCGATTGAAGTACCTACTGCACAGCCAAATACCCGTTTTTAACTACCTAGTTACGACACTAGCAACGCTCCAGAAGCATCGGTGGTCGAACACCTGACGATGCCTAACATCTGTTCGCAGAGGCCATGTCTCGCAAGCATACAACGATACAACTGTTATTGAAGCCTGATACGCGCGACCCTTGTGACCCAGTCATACGCTTTTTTGACGCCACAAGTGACGCACAATGGCAAAAACGATACCAGCCTTTAAGACATGTGTACTGACTTCATCAGACACACTTCCGTCAGAGCTAATACAACTCCCAAGACATGTAAATTCCTCCACATTCTCCAACAAGGGGTATGTCCGGAGACTGTACGTTCTGAAGCACGACCTTGCACTTAGGTGCTAGGCACGTGCTGAAAGTTGGTGGCTAGTTTAGTCAACAAAGCTTGTGCTGTCCCTTCATCCGCAAAGATGAGGGCAATGTCATCTACGTATTCGCTTAGTTTAGTTTAGTTGTACCACCCTTCGGGTGGCTAGTTGCCATGTCACCCAAAGGAAGCACGAGGATGGGAATGCAGCCAGGTTGCTCAAGTTTTGACAGGGGGAGTCGAGATTGGGTTCAAACAACGGACCTTCCGGTCAGTAAATTCGCGCTCTAACCACCGAGCCATCTTGCGCCAGATCGACAAGGTTCCCACTAGCGAAAATTTGAACACCGAGGTTTTGAAAACCTTCCAGATTTCGCGTCGTTATTTTACCAATGACGAAATTGAACGAGAATGGAAAGGATATTCTTGTCAGACGCTGCTTTTTGTAGGGAAGCTTTTGGACAGTTCACCGTACACTCCGCCCAGAAGTATATGAATACAGGAACCGGGTTATGCTGGTGGTGGTTAACAGCACTGAACAATCGAGAGAATCGAACGCGCCCTTGAAGTCAAGGAATACCAGGATGGTGGGTCGTTTGTACATATGGCGTTACTCCATCCGACTGAGTGTGAAGCTGTGGTCGACGCAGCCTCTACGAGGTCGAAATCCCGCTTGATGCTCACGGGTCAAGGATTCGCGTGCCGCTGTAAGACGCCGAAGAATCAGTGACACCAGAAGCCTTGTTACGACTGTGGTCACCACACTCACTGCGAGTAACCTCTTTGAATACTGGATGCTGTTATCGACTCAGTCCTGTTATCTGGAACGGCCTAGTTCACCTAGGTAGACTTAAATAGGTTAAACAGGTACTGACTGAGAAATTAACCCCCATCATTGAAGAGAGGAGGTGGAAAGTCGTCAGAGTCAGGAGCATACCTGAATGGACACTCGGACACTTTTGAGTCTGAAGAGGCTTCCACGTCCACAGTAAACCTTTTTGTTGAAGGCCGGCAGTCCGGATTGGAGGGAGCAGGTGGCCAACTGAATTGTAGTTAGAAATATTGTGCCCAGTGATCTAAACGTTCTCCTTTGTTGCATACCAAAGAAACGTTTTTGTTCTTGATGTTTTTGCTGACAAGAGGCTTCCGAGGACCGATCGAACGAATCAAGTGAAACGACTCGCGGAGGTTTCAATCATTCTTCGCATCTCCCGTTGCTTCGGGCTTTCGGGCCCACCAAACTTCACGGTCTGCACGGACACTCAGTTCCACCTGGCGTCTGATGATGCATCGGGTTGTGCGTGTTTGCGGTCAAGAGAAATCTTCCGCCGGGCATCCGGCAGAGCCACGGTCTTATCAGAAATCCAACATTTGAATGAGAGTTGATGGCTTGTTCCGCAAATGATGGTTCCGGCTTTGAGAGGCGCCTTGAATATCTGTTCCCAGTGGCCGTTAACCTCCAACATAGGGTGGTCAGGTGGGCGTTCAATGATACGGCTCTGAAGGCTTCGTTCGATTTCTAGGTCCATTAGCTTCTCAATGGCTAAGCAAGCTGTGTGCGTTTTGAGTTGACCTAAGAAGCGTAATCGAAAGCAACAGCGCAAAAGTCCATGATCGGAGTCCACGCCGGTATTCCAGAAGGAGCGGTGGGAAGTGGTCGATCCTCGCACCGGAAACTGGCGGCGACGTGATATATTGGGATCTGGTGCTGGTTCGTTAGTGGGCACCACATTCTCAAGCGATTTCTGCTGTTCTGGAAATCGGCACTGCAAAGAAACAGACTATGACTGGCACACATATGAAGTAGACGACCTCTGTTGTCCATGAATCTCATATCCATCCATAGACGACCGCCCAACTGGGTCTCACCAGTGTTTAGCCTACCTACCTGAGCGTTCATGTCATCACCAACCACATCGGTCTGAGATTTTAGCTCACTGCAAAAGAGCATCTATGGCGTCGTAGAAGCCATCCTTTTCAGATTAAGAG